GCAAATGAATTCCAATTCAGCAGTTTCTCGCTGGAGTCTGGATTTGAAGTTTTTTTGTTTTAAGATAGCGACCTTCATGTCTGTGATTGCGTGACCAGAGAGATTGAAGTGTTCTCCGACTGGTTTATGAATGTTATAATTCTTGACATCTGATTTGTGTCCATTTATTCTTTTACGTAGAGACTGTCCAGTTTGACCAATGTACATGGCAGAGGGGCATTGCTGGCACATGATGGCATATATCACATTGGTGGAAATGTGGTGGAAATAGCTCGACTTGATTATCATGCACATTGTGTAAAGAGTTGTCACTTTGGATGGGCTATCACCAGCAGGAGAGTGAATTTGTGTGGGGGGGTGGAGGGTGAGAAAACCTGGATTTGTGCTGGAAATGGCCCACCTGATGATCACTTTAGATAAGCTATTACCAGCAGGACAGTGGGGTGGGAGGAGGTATTGTTTCATATTCTCTGTGTATATATAAAGTCTGCTGCAGTTTCCACGGTATGCATCCAATGAAGTGAGCTGTAGCTCACGAAAGCTCATGCTCAAATAAATTGGTTAGTCTCTAAGGTGCCACAAGTACTCCTTTTCTTTTTGCGAATACAGACTAACACGGCTGTTACTCTGAAACCTCTCATAGCAGAGTTACCATGTGGATTATTACAGAAATCAGAGCTTTAGTCACCTTCCCTTTAAATACTAAAGACAAAGGCTAAATAAATTCCAGGGTTAGTGAGATATCATGAATCCTACAGCCAACAGATTCTGGGAGCATAGTAATGTATTATCACTTCCCCAAATGTAGGGAATTTATTAAGCTTACCACAAATTCTGTTAGTCTTCCTATAGGAACTGAATCTGTATTAATCTCTATAGCTTCTGATCTACTTATCAGAAGTTTGTGCAAGATGTCATACACCACTGACAGTTTCCAGTTGGCTGATGTACATAGATACGTACCAGTGGGCATTAAGATAAAACAATCTTCACCCAGCAGGGAAGCATTGATGGCCTCCAGCTGATTTGTTCGAAAATGGTGCAGACCAAATTTTTTGTGAAATATCTTCATCATATCTTTAGAATGGGAAAACGTAAAGCCTCTGAAGCGTGCTAGTGCTGGATTTTCGGATGGTGATTTTTTCAGCGGTGGGTCTAGCAGAAAAGGAAAGCCTATTAAAATTAGCATCGTAATTGGTTACCAATAAAACAATCAGATACAGAGAAATCTTACTATTTTACACTCCACACAGAGCCAAACCCTGCAGAGAATCCAGGTGATTCTCAGAGCAAAGCATCAGGATTAGAGTTTACTTTTAGACATTTTATGACCACATACAAAACAATTTTGATATGTGTGTTAGTTATGAAAAAACTGTAGCCCCAAATGGGGGGGGGAGGGGGCGGACGGACACCTTTAATTCTTTTTGCAGTTGCTAAAGCAGCACAAATTAAGACCCATGTTATAAAAATTTTACTTAAATGGGGATGTGTGTGTAAGTTAGGGAACATTTTAAATCATGCGCAATTTAGCAAATTCTCATTATGCTCCTGTTTGCATTTATAAAACAATACAGATCATTTCAAAAGTGGCTAATATACAAATCAAGATTCTTCTGTCAAACAAGGACTGTAACCTAGTGACCTAAAAGTTCAGCTAATTCCAAGGTTGACTTCAGGTTCCACTGGACATGTTTTACAATATAAAACAAAAACTGTTTTGCTTTAAGTGTAACGCAGATGACTAATTCACCACTTAACTGTTCATCACTACAAAAACATAAATTATCTAAAGAAAAATGCATGCATATAGCGCTCAAGATAGTCAAGAGAGTAGATTTTGAACTCTGTAGCACTTACATCCACATTTGGGTACTGTTTGGATTTCAGTGAATGAAAAGCACTATATCAGTGGCCCACTATATGAAATGCATAACCTTATTCTGTTAAACACCTTTTTCAAAATTGCATACATTTGTGGTGTTCATTTTTAAAGGGGCTGTTTTAAAAATCAGCGGAACAGGATTTAGTAAGTAGATATGACAGCACAGAAGGATGCAAACTGCCAGATTAGGCAACAGTGAATTCCTCTTTTTAGATAAGCCTGGTCAAGGTTGGTTATGTTTTAAAATTATTCTCCCATGACGATGGTCCAATAATTTGGATGAGTTTGTAGACTACAGACAAAAACCTGTTTAATTTAAATTCTTCCACATAAAAAACAGTGAGTCAACTTCTGCAGAACACTCCAGCCCTCAGTGTTCTTGTAGCACAAAGGAGCTGTAAAAGAAAGGAAGCAGTCCTTGAGGAGTGTTCACAACGTAAGGGGGCTTGCCAGGTGACATAAAGCGAACAGAATGGCTCCACTACACCCCATATCTTTAAGCATGGTGCCTCAGGAGAAGGTGTGTCCAGAACATACTGAGCTCCAGTTGGTATAACAGTCTGGAAGGGTCCCATTACATACAGGCTTGTGCAATTTAGCATACTTAGCATAACTTCAAAGCTGCTCTAAATTACACTGCAGACTAGAATTCAAGAGCCAAAAAGAAGGCTGAAAGCCATTATAGCACCTGTGAACAAAGGGACAGATAGTCTGACCTATATCCTACCAGAAGGATTAGATTTGTTTTAAGAAGTGATGTATATGCAAATATGCTCTCTTGCACAATATAACAAAGTTAATTCCAAGTCACCTGCCTAGTTCTAATGCTTGCAGGATTGTTACTATAATAAATACATTTGTTTCAAATTTTGCAAAGATGAAGCTGCTAGAAGTCAGAAACCTGCCCTGCAAATACACATTGCTGTGAAGTGTGATTTGATTAGACGAAAGAGCATGTTACCTAGAAATTGTGACGTTGCAATTAGTAATACACCAGTAGAAATTTCCACAACAAAATATACTTACAGTCTATCGTAAATTACTTAAATTCACCCCTCACAATACTTTTTAGCATATAATTTTTGCTATGATAAATTAATCAAAATTAGTATAATTTACCTGAGCAGTTCTTGGCTGACACCAAGATATTTGGTTTTGAAACAGGATTAGATATAGGGCTAGTTTCCTTGACTGTCGAAAATGACTTCAATAATGATTTTGCAGATTGACCTTCCCTGATAGGTTGGTATAGTGGCGTAGATGTCTTTTCATTTGCTGAAACATACAGTGGATTATCCCACCTCTCATCAAAATCATCATCAAGAACAAAATTATCAAGATCAAAGTCTATGTCCCTTGCTCCTAAATTGTCATCTCCTCCTATGTTATTAATACTAGTAGACCTTTTATTTTCAACTTTCAAAGTAGTGCTTGTTACAGGCATTTCTGAAAAAAGGCAGCTTCCATCCTCTTCTATCCTTGGTTTTTCACACCAGCTACTGTTGAAAGAGGATATCTCAGAGTGAAAGCTGAGTGATGTTCTTTCTTTGACATCCATCTTCGAAAAAGAAAGTCCTGCATTTTTTGTGATGTTGGTATCCAGGGCAGCACACTGCAAAAAATTTGATGTACCTGAGGTATCTAGGGTTTGAAGTTTTGTTGTAGAGAAGGTGCTCATATTAAGGTTTCCTTGACATTCAACAGCAACAGAAAGTTTAGAGGGAACTTTTGTAAATTTGAATGAGTTTCCTTCAGAGTTTAAGCTATACTTTTGACCTGACTGAACAGGAATGCTGTCATCCATAGAGGTAACATGCCCAGGATGGGATTTCCAGTTTGAGGCAAAGAGCATACCTAAGTCACTTTTGTTTGCATTTGCATCAATATGATTAGCTAACAGTTCTCTCCTGAAAAAACAAAACAAAACACAGAGTAGTAAGACATCATAAATTCTACAACCCTCAAATATTGTCTTTTGTCTTCTGCCACCACAGGAAAAAATAAGGCTTCCTTAAAATATACAAATAAAGTGAGTTAGTTTATAACACAACTGTGCCAGAATTCTGGTGTTTAAAAATTGTAGAGCAGAGGTTCCCAAACTATTGCTGACCTCTGTGGGAGAGCAATAAGGTTATCAAGGGGGCACGAAGACCTTGGGGAAGCAGACAGGGCTCTGTGCAGGTGATTGCAGCTGCCAGGACCAGGATCCCTGCGCACCTCACTCCCACACTGCTACACCAGTAGCAGCCACCAACAAGCAGTTACGCATTTCTGCTGGGGAGGTTGGCAGAGACTCTGCAAGCAGGGAACGGAAGGCTACACCCCAGGAATACTGACACCACTGCCAGACAAAGTCCCCTCCTGACCCTTCAGTGCAGCTCCAGGGTACAGAGCCCCATCCACTTGAACTGCCAGACAGATCCTGCGCAGGAAAAGCAGGCAGGGTCGCACACAAGGGCTAGAGTCAGAAGGATGCCCCGTCCAGCAGGAGGCCAGTACTCACATGGTACATCTCTCCATTCCCCCCCGATCCCAGGGCCCTTCAGTGCTGCCCTGTTCACCTCCCCTGCACAGGTGAGGAGTGACACAGGCAGGGAGCTGGTTCCTGCAGCCAAGACTGCCTGACTGCTGAAGGGAACAGAAGCCCCCTCCTGACTCCAGCCTTTCAGCACCCCACCTGTCCCCCATGGTTACAGGGTACTCCTCCCCCATAACCCCATTGAAAAGAGGGGGTATGTGCATGGGACATGAATCTCTGAAGTGGGGCTTAGCAAAAAAAAGTTTGGGAACCTTTTCACAAGCTAGGAAATTTCCTATTCTCCAACAGCCAAAGACAAAACCAAAAAAACGGTCCAGACAAATGAAGCAGCTTTGAAGAAGCTTTAAGTGCAGCTTTGATTTGTTAAAGGGCCTAATAGGAGCTTCCATATCCATATTTTGCTCTATGGAATGTTTCCTGATTTGTAAAGCCAACTGTACAAAAAGAAGAGAGTGCAATGGCTGGCTTCAGGAACCACCACTCACCTCTCCAGACTCCTAGACAGTCAGGATTACTGGTCAGAGAGAGGATGAAATGAAAACAAGTTCTTATTTGCACAACCTCTCTCACTTCTAGGTTACTCTGCAATTCTACACTGCTTGGAAGAGGGTAAAAAACAAAAAATCTGTCAAGTATCTTGCTGAATTAGACTACTGGGTTTAAAATTTGTAACAATGGCTGAACAGAGACAGACGTTATTAAATCCAAACCAGGTAAGAGCAAATGTAACAGTACCATTGGGGGCGGGGGGAAGGAGGAGGGAGAGTGAGAGTGGTAGTTAGATATAACAAATTATATAATCTCTGGATTTTTAGAAATCACTTTTTCCAGATGTAAAAACTTATACCTGCTTAAGACAGTATTTGTTACTATTTTGTTTTTTCTGCTTCTGTTTTGTTTCCTGACAGTATTAAGTTAAAGACCAAAAGCATTCCATTTGTATTTTTTTTTCTTACTGTAAATTATGTAGACAGCTTTTCTTGATTCTCAAAATAGAAGACAGTTCTGTGAATATGCTTAATCATTCTGACACTGACCCAACAGACCTTTATCAGATTGAGTTAGCTGACTAATTTAGGCCCCAATCCTGCAAATATATGCTTAATTTTACTTGTTTAACCCCCTTGAAGTCAAGGGACTACAAACATGCTTAAAGTCAAACGTGCATAAGCATTTGCTATACCTGCACCCTGGAGATTCTGAGATCAAAGATACAGTATTGAGATCTGAGTAGTTATCAGATATCTTAAGAAAAAGGAAAAACTTTATGGAAGAAAAACTGTTGATACTTTATTTTTATAATTTTTTAAACTTGTCTTTTGTTATGAATCTCAATTATTAAGAAATGATAAATAAAAAGAAAAAACCTTACTTTCAATTAAAAAGTAAAATAATTAAATGTCCTAGCAAAAAGATTTAAATCCTTGGTTTTGCTACCAGCATGACACTGAAGTAATGTTATAAATAGATAATCCTCGAACACAGTTGGAGGGGGAAATAGTTTTAATAGTTTAATAATTATGGGCCTCAATTTGAAGAAAATGAAAATAATATGCTTGAGCTATATTATTTTCCTTATCTATTTCTTAAAGACTTAAAAGATTGGGATTGTTTACTTAAGAAAGGAGAATAAGAAGGGACATTATAAAAGTATATAAAATAATGAACGGTGTAGAAAAGGTAGATTGGGAGCTTGTATTCTCCTGTCTCGTAACACAAGAAAAAAAACTGGGAACTTCAAACCAATAAAACGAATACTTTTCACACAATGCATAATTAGACTATAGAACCATTGGCACAACAAGATTAAAAACAGGATTAGACAGACAATTATAGGAAAAACTAGTATATCTAGAGTCATAATTGTTAATCCTAACAAAAATGTTGGCAGGAATATTAAAGCTCATGCTTCAGGACTTAATCTCTAACTATTAGAAACCAGGGTTAGACTTAATGCAGAGGGCAGATTATCCCATTTCTGCCTACCACAGGGGTTCTTCCTCTGATGTGTCTGGTACTGGGCACTGTCAGAGAAAGGATAATGGACTAGCTGGACCTCAAATCTCATTCAGTCTGGCAGTTTCTGTTCTTACAGATCCCTAATTATTCTATCCAAAAAGAGTTAACACTTCTACACCATTGAAAAGATCATTTCATTTACCCAGGAATATTAACTTGTTTAAAAATATTAACTGCCACCTTACCAGTCTGATAGAAAACACATACAATCAAAAAGAAAAGGAGTACTTGTGGCACCTTAGAGACTAACAAATTTATTTGAGCAGCTCACGAAAGCTTATGCTCAAATAAATTTGTTAGTCTCTAAGGTGCCACAAGTCCTCCTTTTCTTTTGCGAATACAGACTAACACAGCTGCTACTCTGAAACATACAATCAAGATGCTGATGCGCACAAAAATGTAGAAGTAGTACTAAAGACTCCTAATTAAAACACACCTGAGACATCTCTGTTGAAGAAGGTCATTCCCACAAGACAAAGACTTAAGTTCATGTATTGGGATAGAATCTACTAGTTTACAGATGTCCTCCATCACACTGAAGAGATGCTGTTCCAAACTTAAGAATTCATCTGCAAAGTAATATAGTATACATTTAATAAAGTTTTAATTATGTGATGTCAATATTTTCCCCAAATGGCAAAGAAAAATGTAATATGTATAAAAGTTTAAACTGCTTATTTGGTATATTTTAAAGTTATGTAATTATTAGCAATCAAAAGACTATTTCTATGCATGCAACATTAAGTTTTAAGCTATATATACATACATACTTTTTTTTTTTCGCCCGTGGAACTGGTTTTTAATGCAGTTGCACAGGTGGAACCCAGGGCACAATTTGGCCCTTACATTGAAAGTTGGCAAACTGTTTTGTTGATGGTGCACAAGAAAAAAATATGATCAACCTCTGTCTCTCAGAGTCTGGCTTCCAGAATAGTACCGTTAACTAACCCACATTGCACATATGTTTTTAGTAATGCTGAATGTGTAACTTCATATATGAAATATGTAAAGCCTGGGAGAGTTTATATTACTCTGAGCCATAACTTGTTATATGCCTGGACTGTCTGTTTAAATTTGCAGTCTTAATGTTGCACCAATGGTAAAACCTTACCTTCAATACAAGAATTGAAAAATTCTTTACAAATGTTAATTTAGTTCAACGCTCCTTATAAAATGAGTATGATCTCCATAGTTAAAAAAAAAAAAGGGGGGGGGGGACAAGCATTAAAAATTAAGAGGAAACATTTTCTAGAGTGATCACTTTGAGAACTCAGTTTGACGCCTTGTGAGTGCTCATCACTTCAGAAAATCAGGCCCAAGATATCCCTGGCAGGGCACCCAGGAACAGATGGCCTCAAGAGTCCAGTGATTCTGGCTAAGCGATGTGCTCAAGGTTACATAGCAAGTAAATGGTAGAATCAGGAACGGAACTCCAAATCTCCTGCCTCCCAGTCCTGTGCTTTACCCACTAGCAAATGCTCATTCCTGTAGCACAGTAGATGAAGAAAATGAGAACAAAAGGAATTGCACACCCTTCAAGAGACATTTAATGCATAGATGTTTCAGCTGAAGTGTTTCTTATACCTGCATGCTCTATACTGGTCCCACTGGTAGGCTGCTTTCTGATGATTTTCCCAGGTTTTGACAGACTGTTATCAGTCATTAATTTTCCATCTACAGCAGGTTCTTTGAAAATATTACTAATATTAAAATGAAAAGTCATTAAAACACATATCAATAAATCAAATTATTTTCACGGGAGGAGAAATTAATTTGCATGCTTAGGATAACAGTTTTATGCACTATGTATATTACACAAAACTACTTAACTCTCAAAAACGAGTGAACCCCAAGTAAATAATTGAGTAAGTCCATCTTCCACCCACCTGATTCAGAACCAAATTAGGCCCTTGATACAGGCTTGGCTAGGGTGGAAATGGTGCTTCCTGTGAAGCTAACACCACTCTGAGCATAGCAGAAGACTGCATTTCATGACATTCATTATTGCCAATTGCTACACTGCCATTTGTTCAAGAAACAAGGTCTCAGGTCTATTCATTCACCCAGTCAATTCAGCCAGTAACATTTTAACAAGTGGAGATTTTAGGACTAGCATCCTTTTTTAACCTGTTTAAACCATACTAGTGATAAACATTTGCTATAGTGAATTTTGTTTTACCTAATGTTTTTTATAGAAGATGAGGAAGAAAGCACTTCTTCCTCTGGAGAAGGTGGAATGAAATCTAGGTAATCATCCTCCTCAATTCCAGTGTAATCAGGAGTCTCATCCGATCCTTTAGCCAGTTCCTTCAATGCATAGCTATTCTTCTCACCCTCATTTAGCTTTTGTTTGCCATTATGCTGTTTTTTACTGAGAGCTGAAACAGAAGAGAGATGTTGGGCAAGGTTATAACCTTTTCTTCATTTTGGAAATAACCAAAGACGCAACTGAAAAAAAGAACAATGAAGCTTTACTACCTAGGATTCTATATATTTCAAATGGAGTTTACTATTTCTCAGCTTTAATAAATGATACAGACTCTATTCCCACAACAATGTTCTTTTGCATAAAAAGCAAATCCCTCCAAAATAATTTTAAATAAGTGGCTTAGAAAACTGGGGCATTACAAAGGACAAAAATGGTGCTTCTTCAAACACAACTTCTATAAAGTACATCTTGCAGATTTTTCTTATTATAGTACAAGTGTCTTCTCAAGAGCTGAAACTTCAAAACATTACTGAGTAGTTACATCTTCTATAGCTGAACTAGAAAACTAACCTTATAAACAGAAGCCATCTCCATAATATGGATTAGGTATTATAGATTTTTTCAGTTTATGTATTCTTCCCTCATTTGTAGTGTAAGGCAGAAGTTCCCAAACTGTGGGGCACACAAAGAGGTTATCGAGGGGTACAAAGACTTGACGGGGTGCACTGGAGGTCCGGAGTCAGCAGGGGACTCTGTACAAAATGGAAGTAGATGGGGCTCTATACAGGTGGTCTCAGCTGCCAGGACCAGGCTCCCTGTCTTTTTTGCTGCTCCACTGTCACAGCTGCAGCAGCCACCAATGGACAGTTACCTTCCTCTACTGGGGTAGCACCAGGGACTATGTGAGCAGGGAGCGGAAAGCTGAACTACTGACCCTTCCCTGCCAGTCAAAGCCCCCTGCTGACGCCAACCCTTCAGCACAGTTCTAGGGCACAGAGCCCTGTCCTCTGCTGGAAAGAGCCTGTGCAGGGGAAGCTGATGGAGCTGTGCTCAAGGGCTGGGGTCAGCAAGGAACTCTGTTCAGCAGGGGGCCAGTACTCAAGGAGTGCAGCTGTCTGCTCCCCTCCTGACAGGCAAGGAACTGAGTCCAGGCAGCTGAGACCAAACGACCACTGCAGGAACCAGGTGGCTTCCTCAACTGCCATATGGTGAGTTTTTCCCCCCGTCACTCCTCCAGGAGATTTCGGGCACCCCTCATGAGTACAGGGCACCCCTCTCCCCTTAGAAAAAGGGTGTGCATGCATAGGACATGAATCTCCAAACGGGGGTTCAGCCAAAAAAAAAAATGTTTGGGAATCTCTGGTATACGGAAGATGTTTCTGCTCTAAGGCCCAATCTATACACTTTTTTTGCACTGGTATAACTATTTCTTGTTAGGTGTGCAATATTTTTTAAATGAGAGAGTCATACCAATACAACCCTTAGTGTAGACACAGTTATACTAGCATAAAGATACCATATACAGGTAAAGCCTATTTCCCTTCTTGTATGAGAAGGGTTATACCAGTATAAAGCATCTTTATTCTGATATAACTGCATCCATGCTGGGGGGGGAGGGGAGGTGGCAAGCGAGGGGGGCAGGGGGAGGTGTACCATTTTAAAGCAGCACAATGTGTGTTTAGACAAGACCTAATATCTATTCTAATTACTTGCCCTCCCTATTGTGAGAATTAAATGAGGTATCTTTAGCAAAATATGGATTCTTCAGAAATGTGAGAAATCACATCCTGACTACTGAGGTGGTTTTTGTTATTCACTGTGCCATTAAGATATTACAGTCTAAGTACCTATTCCTTTCCATAAGGAAAATGAAGAATAAGAATCTACCCTATGTAACAATCAAGAAACATTAAGCACAAAAAGAAAAGGAGTACTTGTGGCACCTTAGAGACTAACAAATTTATTTAGAGGCTAAAGCAAACAATGAGCAGCTAAGCGGGAAACAGCTCAAAGTTAACGGATAGTAAACTCCCCATTTCATGCACTTTTTAAATGTAATGGATTAAAATGCCGTGATACAGATTAATTTCTATTACTCAATATTTCCCATAGTCACACTGAACTATAAATGGAAACTGAAAGCACTTGCAATGAATTAAAATTGGGAGTCTAATTTCACTGCAGCATCTGCAAGTGCCTCTTTTTTTCCTGAATGCTACTCCAGGAGATCTTCCTTCTCCAACAGTACATTATAGGGCTTACTGGTTTTTCCCCAGGAGTGAAAGTCCATTGTCAAACAGAGGTTCTAAACATCAGTGATGGCACTTTCTACAACAAAATCCATATGCTACACACTTAGACCCTGATTTTCAGCTCCCTGATTTGACTTTAGTTAGAGTGGTGAGGGCTAGGCACTTCTGAGAATCAGACCCTTAGTGTGTAGACCTGAAAATAGTCCTCTAAGTTTATTATGACATCAGGCCAATTTTATTTGAAATATTACATATAAAATACATTAAGAGAATGCATTACCTGTATGAGTTTCTTCTTTTTCGTCACTCAGAATAGTTTCTGTAGACAACTTTTTCTCATGAAGATCTTCACCTAAAAGTCTTTTACAATCTTTGGGATCTGAAACATCAAGACAAATCAAAGATCTGTTTGATAGAGCTGGCTGTTTGTCATTCAGTGATTTTTCATCATTCTCAGAAAGACAATGTTTTGACAGTCGTTGCTCACTGTTCACAGTCCTGGATGCCTTAGATAATCTAACTGTACAGGAATTGGATATTTGAAGAGTCTTGCTGGGTTTTACAATTGGATTTTTGGGGGACAAAACCAATGATTTTGAGTTTTGTTTACCAGATATATCAAAGTCATTTATGTCATCCCAGTCATCTTCTATAGTAATAATGGAGTCATCTGAACAATTGTGGTCTACTTTCTGGAAAGCAGAATCACCTGGTTTCTTGCTTACATTCTCTTCCTTTCTAGGAGGTAAATCATTTGAAACTTGCTGGGAACATTCAAAAGAATTTAACGATATCCAGTTTGGACAAAGTTGTTGTATTTCGTGCTGTTTGGATGTCTTCTCAAAGAGGTCATTGATTTTTATCTGCTTATCCTTTGATGTGGGAAAAGATGCAACAGATTTAGTCTGGAAAGTATTAACGTCCTTCTCCTTCAATGCAGAGCTCTTTGTAACACTGAAACAGTTTATGGATACAGCATTACCTGGAGCACTTTTCTTTTTGAAAGTGAAACCTCTGCAAAATAAAATGGATTTTTTCAGAGTTTTTAACATTGTAAAATTTACTTATTTTTGGAAAAACAAAAATAAAGCTACATTTCATCAACATTAAAAATCCCTTCACACGACCAAATATCAAAAGTGTGCATTTAACATAACTGAGAAGCTATTGGTAGCTATTTTTTCTGAATTCTATATTTCAGTCTCACACATAGGCATTCTAGCTTTTAATGGATTATAGTATTTATTTTATGTGGATTAAGCACCCTAAATGCCATAGATTATGATTTATGTCCATAATTATGTATCTTAAATCATTTTAACCAAGTGTTACAAGGTGCTGCGCACACAAGGCTCCCTCCGACTAGAATGGAAGTTGTGGGTGCTAACAGAACCTCTGAAAATCAGGCCATTTGGCCTTAAGTATCATGACTTTTGCTTTGAACATCACTCAGATGTTAAGAAGTTTACTTCAATATTGATAAAAACATTTTTCATACTTTGATACTCAGTAGCATAAAGCAGCATGTCACCAGAAGTAGTGGTCTGGATTCCATGCAGTTAGTAATAAAATTATACTTTAGTTTGATTGTAGTGAGTGTAGTTTTTCCATGCCAATTAAACAATAAGCCTATCTTGGCCACTCCATGGAAGCCCACACAATCCATTCTACTTAGGAGACACAGAAGAATATTTTTAAAAAAACCCAGAAGCAGGCCCTCTGTTTAATTTTCTGCATCAACTTTAAGCAGAGAAATTGTAAAGAAAAAAAAAAGACCAGAACCCAAACTGACAAAAAGTTGACAACCATGGTACTTTTCTTTGTTACTTTTGATGATGAGCAGCAAGCTAGACTGATACTTACGCTGCTTTATGTTTTGGAAGAGCTAGTTTATTGTGAGTTCCTTTTGCTGAATGAAGCTCTAGCTGCTTCTGGAGGTTGTTCTGTGGAAGATCAGCCATGCTATCCAAAAAAAAAAAAAGACGATTTAAGGTATTACATTAAGAATATCACTGGCTACACAAACTCTCCTATGGGTTCAAACTAAGAAGGCTTTTTGAAATTTTGCCACCTACAGGCTATTTTTGTGGAAGAGTGATATACTGGGCATTGATGATTACAAGTGTAAATATGGACAGTAAGGGTGCTAACAATCTTTGACAGATTACGGTATATACATTGCTTCCCTAATAAGACCAAAAAATTCATCCTATCATCATCATAACAGGAAAGGTTAAGAGTTAAAGTAAAATAAGACCATATAAGAGACATACACAGTAGGCTAATTTAAAAGTAAGCAGAGCTCTGTGAACAAAAGGACATTTAAGTTTGTTAAATTGTAAAGTGCTACAGAACCTTTCATGAAAGGTGCTATGTAAGTGTAAGTGATTACACAGCACATTTCCGATTCAAGACATTACGTGTGAGTGACCAATAAAGCAAAGTTATTGTTATGCCAAGCTGAAATGGTTTGGCCATTTATGTGTAAAAATATCAATCACTATAGGGTGTAAGAGAAGCTTTAGTTATCCAGGCTTTTTATTTTATTTTATTTAAAGATATGTGGATTTTTAGAAAGGCATAAGCAGAAGGACCCATTTAATGCCTCCCTCCAAGATCAACTTCTCTGTTCAGGTACTGTAGCACCTCTTATGTGGAAATGTCATCACCACCAATTGGCTCAAGTCATGTTGCAGCTTAAAACTGAGAACATGAATTAATATGAACTAGGTTAAAAAACAGAAACCCTTAACAGTCAGGCTTAAACCATTATTGGTAGTGGCTGAATCAAGAGAGTACCAAAATACCAAAGTGCAACTGTCATCACACCAGAATATTATGGACCGTTCAGAGTGGCATACCAAGAGGACCTGGTTTCAGAGTGGTTTCCGATGAAGTGAGCTGTAGCTCACAAAAGCTCATGCTCAAATAAATTGGTTAGTCTCTAAGGTGCCACAAGTACTCCTTTTCTTTTTTCAAGAGGACCTGGTAGATGTTGAAAACAGCACGCATAATAATAGCTCTCAAAGTTAGGGTTATGCAGCAGGTGCTAGTGGGAGAGCAAGTTCTATGATTACCAAAAATTCAGGTGGATTAACAGAAAATTCCGGTGATGTTTGATTTCAGAGTAGCAGCCGTGTTAGTCTGTATTCGCAAAAAGGAAAGGAGTACCTGTGGCACCTTAGAGACTAACATTTATTTGAGCATAAGCTTTTGTGAGCTACAGCATCCGATGAAGTGAGCTGTAGCTTATGCTCAAATAAATTTGTTAGTCTCTAAGGTGCCACAAGTCCTCCTTTTCTTTTTGTGATATTTGAGGACTTGTCTACCTTAAAAGACTATCAAAAGTTTGAACATGATCATGAACCGCACCAGATAACAAAGAGGCCACAGTGTGGTAGCCTGCAGAAAGGAGGGCAAATCACATTCTGCAGGGTCAGCGAAATGCAATTGAATTCCGAGTCTGACACGTTGCCCCAAACTGTTGTTCTGTGGTGACGTGCGCTGGCAAACGGCTGCCATGTTTCACCCCAAGGATCCTGTCAGCTTAGCAGCAACTGAAGCCATCCTTGTCAGACTCGGGGCCTTCGGGATGCTTCACGGCAGCCACCGCAGATGCTCTGGGGACATGCTGTTGCAGTTAGGCAGAAGCTTCGTGGCCTTTTCGGGGGGAGGGAGAGCTCACTGGTTTGAGCATTGGCCCGCTAAACCCAGGGTCGTGAGTTCAATCCTTGAGGGGGCCATTTAGGGATCTGGGGCAAAAACTGGGGATTGGTCCTGCTTTGAGCAGGGGGTTGGACTAGATGACCTCCTGAGGTCCCTTCCAGCCCTGACAGTCTATGATTTTCCTCCCGAGCGGCCCGGCGCGTCCCCGCCCCGTTCGGTGGCTCGAAGGCAGGGCTCCTGCCGCGGCCTGCCCCCCGAGCGCCTCTCCCCGTGGGACAGGCGTGGGCCACCGCCAAGGCGCTGGTGCCAGGCCGGGGGCCGTTTCTGGGGTAGCCTCCCCCCCGCCCCCCGGGACCCCCCCAGAGCCAGCTAGGGCGAGGAGCGGGAGCAGGCTCGAGGGGGCCCTGACCGGCCGGCGGGAGCCGCGGCCACCGACCGTGCCTGTGTTAGCGCCGGGCCCTTCCCCTTCCCCGGCCCCGCTGCCCCCTCACCTGTCCCAGCCGCGCGGCCCGGCCCGGCCCGGCCCAGCCCCCTCCTGGGCCCCCGCGCGCCCCGCTCCCTTCGCATTTGGCGCCAACCCACCTCCCCAGAGTGCGGCTTCCCCATTGGCTGCAGGACTCGGGGGGGGAAGTGACGACAGAACGCTTCCGTCCCCTCCCCCCAGGGCAGCGGCCAGCAGCGCTTTAGGGGTGTGCGCGGTCAGCGCAGGCCGGCCGGGCGTTCTGGGTGATTCCATTCCAGGGCGGGGGGGAGCACAAGTTTGGGGCCATTCCATTCTGGAGTGGAGGGGGAGCTAACTAATTTCAAGACTGGTTTCAGAGGAACAGCCGTGTTAGTCTGTATTCGCAAAAAGAAAAGGAGTACTTGTGGCACCTTAGAGACTAACCAATTTATTTGAGCATGAGCTTTCCTGAGCTACAGCTCACTTCATCAGATGTTTACCGTGGAAACTGCAGCAGACTTTATATACACACAGAGAATATGAAACAATACCTCCTCCCACCCCACTGTCCTGCTGGTAATAGCTTATCTAAAATGATCAACAGGTGGGCCATTTCCAGCACAAATCCAGGTTTTCTCACCCTCCACCCCCCCACACAAATTCACTCTCCTGCTGGTGCTAGCCCATCCAAAGTGACAACTCTTTACATAATCAAGTCGGGCTATTTCCTAGACTGGGAGTGGCTAAGTCATTATGCAAGGTAGCCTGTTTCCTCTTGTTTTTTCCTACCCCCCCCCCCCCCAGCTGTTCTGGTTTAACTTGGATTTAAACTTGGAGAGTGGTCAGTTTAGATGAGCTATTACCAGCAGGAGAGTGAGTTTGTGTGTGTATGGGGGTGGGGGGGATGTGAGAAAACCTTGATCTATGCAGGAAATAGCCCGACTTGATTATGTAAAGAGTTGTCACTTTGGATGGGCTAGCACCAGCAGGAGAGTGAATTTGTGTGGGGGGGCGGAGGGTGAGAAAACCTGGATTTGTGCTGGAAATGGCCCACCTGTTGATCACTTTAGATAAGCTATTACCAGCAGGACAGTGGGGTGGGAGGAGGTATTGTTTCATAGTCTCTGTGTGTATATAAAGTCTGCTGCAGTTTCCACGGTAAACATCTGATGAAGTGAGCTGTAGCTCACGAAAGCTCATGCTCAAATAAATTGGTTAGTCTCTAAGGTGCCACAAGTCCTCCTTTTCTAATTTCAAGACTGGGACTGTCCGTTCTGGCGCGACTTCAGGGCGAACTTATTCTGGACATGGGGGTGGGTCAGGATCACTCCATCTGCAACTGGCGGCGGGGGGGGAGGTCAGGATCACTCCATTCTGCAGCTGGGGGGTGTGTGTCTGTGTGTGAGGATCACTCCATTCTGTAGCTGGGGGGGTGTGTGTGAGGATCATTCCATTCTGCAGCGGGGGGCGGTTTGGTGGTGTCAGGATCACTCCATTCTGCAGCTGGGGGGTGTGTGTGTGTCAGGATCACTCCATTCTGCAGTGGGGGGGGCGGTTTGGTGGTGTCAGGATCACTCCATTCTGCAGCTGGGGGGGTTGGGTGGTGTCAGGATCACTCCATTCTGCAGTGGGGGGGGCGGTTTGGTGGTGTCAGGATCACTCCATTCTGCAGTGGGGGGGCGGTTTGGTGGTGTCAGGATCACTCCATTCTGCAGCTG